CTATGGCAATTTTAGTGGAATCAGGAGAAAAAGCCATGCCCTTCACCATATAGCTCTTCCTGCCATACTAAGAGTTAAAAAAGGAAAAGAAAAAAAAAAGTCATGAGTACACACGGTAGAGAAAAGAGAAGAAAAGGTGTTTGTGTGACTGTATTGAGCGTGAGAGATTCATCCTGAGAAAAGATGGGGCAGGCCATTTCCTAGGCAGATGGCTGGGGAAGTTAGTTGGGAAGTTTTCCAGATTCATAAGACCCCATGAACAGGTTAAGGACACACAGAGTATTCTCTTCACCTTCATGTCAGCTGGTTTGGTGGAGAATTTGTCTCTCCGCTCCCCATGCTCATCGTATAGCAACACCACCCGGTCCACTGTGCAGACGGCAAACTTGGCATTGTTCTGGGACCAAGCCATGCAGGTCACCTTTGCAGCTCCATCCTGCAGAGGCAGAGGGGGCAAAAGGAAGCCCAGCTGTTCGTCTAGAGTGACAAAAGCATTTCTAGTTCCTTTAGCTCTAGTGTGACTTGGTCAATTCTCCACATCACAGTCCTTAAAACAAAAGATGCATTCTGGTCTCCAAGGCTATAAAACCCTGGCCCAGGAGAACAAGGTGCTTTAGAAACCCATAATGCAAATACACTTCGAGGTGACACGCAGAATCAACTGTACCGATGTGCCCCTGCAATGGCCTTGCTCCTTCACAGCTCAACTGAAATAAATTCAACTGGTCTGATAAGTTGTTTTTTTTTTAATAGGTTCTGGTCTTCAGCCATTCATTCAATATATACATATTTTTTCATTCAATATTATTTTTTTTAAAGGTTTTATTTATTTATTTGACAGAGAGACTGCAAGAGAGGGAACACAAGCAGGGGGAGCGGGAGAGGGAGAAGGACGCTTCCCAGTGAGCAGGGAGCCTAATGTGGGGCTCAATCCCATGACCCTGGATCATGACCTAGCTGAGGACACTTCATGACTTAGCCACCCAGGCACTCCTCATTCAATATATATATATATATATAAATTTTTTTTTTTTTTTTTTTTTAAAGATTTATTTATTTGTCAGAGAGAGAGTGAGAGAGAGAGAGAGAGAGAGAGCGAGCACAGGCAGACAGAGTGGCAGGCAGAGGCAGAGGGAGAAGCAGGCTCTCCACAGAATAAGGAGCCCGATGCGGGACTCGATCCCAGGACACTGGGATCATGACCTGAGCCGAAGGCAGCTGCTCAACCAACTGAGCCACCCAGGCGTCCTTATATTTTGAATACCTTATTGAGAAAGGCATGTAGCCAGGGGCTGAGAGGAAGACAAAGAGCAACATACGGTCCCTGCCCCCAGGCTAATGACATGGTGCAAAACAGGAAAAATCCCATTAGAGAGGCATGTACAAAGCACGATGATAGTTTGGGGAAGCCTGAAATCGTTTTATGTTTAAATGACCAACTTTAAGCTTTGAAGAATTGGCTGTAATTTAATGGGGGAAGTTATCTGAAGTAGAAGGAATGATAGGAGCAAAGGCAAATCTCATTAAGAGACAGTAATTTAATTTAGCTGAAACTATCTTGCAAATAGACGAGGTAAGGCAGGAAAAATAATGAGGCCAGCGCAAAAAAAATTTTTGAAATTTGGCCAAGAAGTTTGGGCTTATTTGGTAGGAAAAAGACAGTGGAAGTACTGGAATAGGGAGTAAGACACTCAGAGTTGAGATTTAGGATGAAAATGCCACCAGCTTAGATTTTTTTTTTTTTTAAATTCCCCCCTGCCCCACAAACTATGCACTGCTCACAAGTCCAGTTTGGAAGTGATCATCTCGCAGTCGATTATTCTCTTCCACATCTGTCTACCACCTGGTCCTCAAAGCTTCTGCACTAAGGACTTCCCTCCTTAAAATAAAACATTTAGCTTCTGCTCCAATTGTGTGATTAATTACTTGGGCTCCAGAGCTCTGGTTTGAAACTTTGTTACTTTTCACTCCTAACCCACCTACCTCCAAAGTCCCAGGTTTAAAAGGCCTTTTTTTGTTTTCTTCCCTCCATCAAAATCCTCAGAGTCAGAAAATAGCCACACCACTACCTTTACCCCCCCTCCACTGCTTGATTAAATTAGGTTTGAAGGGCTGAGGGTTCCTCATTTTCCTTGCTCATCATCTTCCTTCATCATTTTGCCAATCCTGGGCGTTTGCCCTACCCTGCATCATGACACCTTATTTTTAAAGACTGAAGGGGATTTTCACTTCCAATTATTCCATTAGGGTAAAGGAATTTTTAAATTACAATTTCGGGGGCAGTTTCCTGAGCAATGAGCACTTCTCTTTTGTTCTAATTTCCCTCTATTCTCCTAATACCACATTCGCTGTGAAGCCTTCCTCATTCCTCACAGCACTGTCGTGAGGATTCAAATGGGGCAGGGAGTAGAATAATAAAAACTAACCTTTAACAAGATCTTACCATAGACTAGGCATTTTGATAAATGCTCAATATGCATTGTCCTTTTACTTCATAACGCTGAGACAGATATGATTATGCATATTTTACAGATGGGGAATCTGATTTCAGAAAAGTTAAGTAATTTGCTCAAATTTACATACACAGTTCATAACGGGGTGGAACCAAGATTTAAATCCACGTATGTCTGACTCCACAAGCCACAATCCTAACTCCTGAAATTATGCTGTCTTGCTACATAGGGAACGTTCACTTATGGCAGATACTATCATTAGCTTTGTATGAGTCTATCCTTTGAATTTTGAATGTTCTCGCTCGTCTATCGGTTTCTACAGGGCTTTTTAGTTCGCGAAGGCTTTTGCGCACGTGACTTTCTTTAACTCTTCCTCCAAACCCCCTCAGGTTGCTATTATTGTTACTCCCATTTTCCAAATGAAGCAGTTGGGTGGGCGCTCAGAGACTGTGTGCCGAGGGCTTCAAGTCAGCGGGATTGGACCATTTATTGAAAATGGAGCTGGCACTAGGACTTGAGTGCTGGTCTCCTAGCTCCAAAACCCAGCCTTTCTTTAGCATGGTTCCTCCCCCGGTGCCCAGCCTTTTCCGAATCCGAGATCTTCATCATCAGAACGAACGTGAGGTCTTCCGCACTCCGTCTTTGGGGCTTTTACCTAAAGCGCTTGTTTATCTGGGCGCAGACTTAGGTTCGCTGTATCCATGTGCGCCCAGCGCGGGGCCTCCTACACAACTGCTGTCAAATGAAACGGAATGAAAGCTACCGAGGTTAGCGGTCCGTCTTGACTACCGCACACTACCGGCCGAGCAGAGATTCCGCATGCAGTAGGCGCTCAACATCGTGAGATTTCAGTTCCCCCACTTCTCTGGGAACGTTAAGGCTGGCGAGGGAGAGAAGAGGCACGCAACTCCTCACCTGAGGGCTCAGCAGGGTCCTCAGGTGCTTCAACTGCATGACGAACACCTGTCTCTCGGATGCCACCAGTCAGCGACAACTCCCGTCGTTACCTGGACAACCCGCCACGCAGCCGCGGCAACTGCCGCTGACGCAGACGCGACTACAGCGCGACACACTTCGCAAGGTCACCACGTAGCTTCGCTGTGAAGCAAACAGAACGTGCGCAGGCGCAGTGAGGTCTAGGGCGGGACCCTGAGAGGACTCGAATCCTCTCTTCAACCAATCCCGTCGTTGCTTGCAAACTCCAGCTCAAGCCACGCCCACAAGCCCTCCGCAAACTCGAGTTCCTACGTAATCGCGGTCTTTCTCCCGCCGGGATTGTGAGTAAAGTGCGGCTGAATACTTCTTTTAATCCTTACAACCCTGGAGGAAGGCAGGGCGGTTGCTTTCATACGTTTTGCAGAGGCCGGGATTGAACCCGAATAGGCTCCATGATTTGCACGGGGTATCACAAGGCTAATAATGATAGTTAACTGAATACTCAGGATGCGTCTGCCAGGTACTGTGCAAAAGGTGGTAGACGCATTATCTCATTTAATCTCAAAGACACCTTTTGAAGGGGATGGCATTATTAGTTCCATTTTACATGCCAGGAGACTCGGGATTAGAGGGATCAGTTAAGAAACTAACAGTAAAGGATGAAACTCGGATTCAACCCAGAGCTGATGCATTTAAACAGCCTTTATATTCTGAACTTTTAACCCCCTGTATCTATGCCATGCTTCTATACCCCGTGCCACTTCCATCCCAAGAAATGAGCTGTCCAGAGTCGGAGATGTGAGTGTTGCCGCGCCAGTGGCGACTGAGAGGTACTACTTCAGAACTGGGTAGCAGTGGATCAAAGACTGCTGCCCAGATCTGGATGCTTTTGTGGTTCAAGGCAGAGGGCAAATGAGAACTGGGCTTATCTGATAGAGTAAAGTTAAGTCTTGTAATATCTGGGGTTGGAGCTTGATTAAGTAGAAAGGATAATGACTTCTTGATCTGTTTGGATTGGGGTCCCTTTCAGAATTACTGGTCTACATTCTTGTAACATGCCAGAGAGACTGAAATGCAGAAAAGGAGCGTTCATACACCTCCTCTGGAAAGATCCGAAGTTAAGAAGACCTATAATTCTCCAGAGAGTATAGCATATGATGTCCAGATTCTGGGTTCTGCAGCTTTTCCCCCACAGTGGTTGCAAACGTCAACAGGTATTTCTCTCACTGGTACCATCCCCTCACCCTTGGAATTTAGGAAACAGTAGAGGAAAGCCTCTGTTTTCACAGGAAGGAAGTAGCCCCAGAGCCCAAAGTATAAGTCTTTTGACAGGGGAGTTCCAACCCCTCGGTTTTATTTCCATAATCCTCTGGATATAGTGTCAGAGAGTGAATATAAACTCATTTACACTTTACATTATTATTGACTTTGACCAAATCAGCAGAGACAGGCAGACAGAAACAAAAGGAAAAGTGAGGGCAGGGGAAGACTAGAAGTACAGGAGTGCACAGGATAGGAGCACGGGTACTGAAGGATCCATTAGTGGAGCTGCTCTTTCATTTGTCCCAAAACACCATTCACTCCTTTTCTGGAAATTAACTTGAGGTTGATGGAGGAGTCAGAGGAATAAATGGTGGAAAGCTTGGGTGTCAATGTGGGCAGTGAACTTAAAAAGGTTACCAGCCCCTCTCATGTGGTATAACCTTCGTTTCCATGGATGCAGGAGAATTTATATTTCCCTCCTTTTCCTTCTCCCCCCTTCTCACTGAACAAAACAAAAGGAACTAGGGCTCTAGTTTTCTACACTCATTTCTGTACTCTCCCCACCCATTCCAGGCTATAGAATCAAAACAAACACCTTAAAACAATGAGAGTGCTCCTGTCGAGTTGGCGGTGGCGTGAGAGGCCCTTGTGGTCAGGGGAGAGACAGAGTGGGGAGGTGTCTTCAGCATACTATACAGTATCCCATACAGTCATCTCCAGTTTGTCCAAGAACGTTTATTGGAAAAATGTCCAAGGGGTGAGGTCACCAGCAGCTGGGGGGGCTACCAGGTGAGGGGGAGCACCTGAGGCTCCGTGGAAGACATTGGAGTAGTGCAGTGCAGCATCTGCCTCCAGACCCAGACAATTCCTTTGAGTTGCTGGGGGAGGGGGAGTACCCAAAGAAACACCCCTCTCTGAGACCCAGAGGCAAGATGTGGGGGCAGCTGGGGATGCCGAGACTCCTGATGCAGGTGCAATGGGGGCCGCATCTGGGACCTAGTGGGATACAGTTGAACAAGTGTCTCTCCCCTGGACCTGGGGGATGGAAGGACATATCCCACCTGATAGCCATTCCCCAGGTCCAGGGGCACAGACCCTAAGAGACCTACCTTCTGGCCCTGCTCACAGTGGAAAGAGGATGGGTACCAGGCCTGAGATTGTGGGAGTGTCATTACCCTCTAGGAGATTATGGGCTCCTTCAGTCTTGGGCAGATCACCAACTGAGGCTCTCCCTGACCCTATCCCCATCCCCAGGTTGTTAGTGCATCTGTTTTGGAGTTCGGTTTCTTCACTCATACATCAATGGTGTTGATGGATGGTGACTTTTTCTGTTAAAAAAAAAAAAAAATGGCTTGAGTCTCTCATGTCAGGAAGGTAAGAGCCTCCTCCATCCCAAATATCCATTTCCCCTCTCTTCCTGCCCCTCTTTGGCCTTCTCCCTTTCCCTGACTGCTTCTAGAAGCAAAATCACCCTTCCCTCCCTCACTGGCCCCACATCACATCACCTGTCTCGTCCCCACTGGCCTTCCCTGAGGACTCTGTTCCGGCCCCTTCCCCTTCTCCTTGGGGTTGTTGTTGGAGTCGTTGTCCTTGATGATATCATACTGACGGCAGAAGAGCCCAATTACAGCTGAAACACAACAATACAATCTGCACCTTGATCTTGACCTCCCCACTCACAGCCTTGAAGGGCATGAGATACCCACACGGTTTCTAGAAAAATCTGAAAAGAAAACCCTTGAATTTCTAGTGCTCATATGTGAGAACCACCCTCTTAGCCTTCCTCTCCTCAAACTTCTGCTCACCCCCAACTAAGCATCTCCCCGCTGCATTTCCCTCCCTGCCTTTTCTCCTGAGCTTCACCACCTCCCACCTTCACTGAGCCCCCCACTCCCCCAATCCTTGGTCCGCCGTGCAGCTGCTCACTCACCAGCCCACATGAGCAACACCACCACAATGATAACCACTTCCCCTGTCTGCAATGGTCGCTCTCCCTCCAGACCCTCTACTGTGATGTCACCTGAGAAGAAAGAGATAGACTCCAGGTTATGGGGAGCGGCCACAGAGCTCTGCTATGCAGACCCGTAAGGATGAAGAGTCTGGGGCCAGGGTTGCCCTTGAGAGCCCCTCTCTAGGAAGCTGTTGGTGGACAGGTAGGTAGAGACCAGAAAAGCAGGAACGTTGCGGGCAAGTATTCACGCAGACTGCGGCGGCTGGGAACAGAGGGTGGGGGAAAGGATGCTTAAAAGCCCTTCTCCCAAACGATTCATTATCAGCCTGTTTATACCCAGTCCCCTGCCAACCTTTTTCCTTCGTTTCTTGGCAGTATGATGAATTAAGTCATCCTTTTATTCATCTAAGCTAGACTGTGGCTTGTTTGGGGGGAAGTAAACAAGAGGCTAAAGGGCAGGTAAAAAGCCAGAGAATCCAAAGCTTTCGGGAGTGGAGAATAGCTGAGCCTCTCACCTGGGCTTGAGCTGTTGGAGGGTAGCCGGTCAGAACCTTTGAGAGTTCGGAAGTGCACCCGAGGCCCTGGGGGGCTCTCTCCCCGAAGGCCGATGCTCCGGACCTGCACCGTGTAGTCGCTGTCTTCAGCCAGTCCCCAGAGGGCACAGGCCCGCGTGGTGGTGTTCACCTCCCTGATCACACGCTGCCCAGGGCCATTCTGTCGCTGCGGGGAGATGATGGGACAGGAGGGCGGTCTCACACCAGTCCCAGGACTCAAACATCCAAGCACTCCACTGAGTAGGATGACAAGGGCAGCTTGAGCCAGGGGACACCAGCTCCCAGATTCTCCCACCACGGGGAGGGAAGCTTTGGTCCCCGGTGGGGGTAACGGAAGGAAGGCTCAGAGTTCCAAGGACACAGGCTGAGGGAGCAGAATGGTGATTCGTACTTGCTGGGAAATGGAGTAGCCAATGACGATGTTGCCTTCTGGGACGTCCCAGGACACAGTGGCCGAGTTGGCTCTGAGGTGAGTGACTGTCACATTAACAGGAGAGGGAGGCCGGTCTGTTGGGTGCCAGAGTGAATAGGTTAACAGGTCCCATGTACGGACTAGCTCTGCTCGACCCCACTACCCCTTTACTCACCTGCTCGCACAAAGCCCAGGTCACAACTGACCAGCAGGAGGACCGTAGGGCTTAAGTATGGGGAGAGGGGCATCAGCGAAGCCATGGTCCCCACCGAGTCCGCTGGGAGGCACTAGGGCATCCGCTTGACATCCAGGCGGGGCTCCTGGAGGTGGCAGGAGTTGTTGGGGGGGGGGGGGGCGGTGTCCAGGACTGCCCAGAACGCACGGGTGGCAGCTGCTCTCCCTGGCTCCCCACCGCCCACAGCAGCCCCGGCCCGTTCTCCCCACGCCTTCCCCGCCCCCGCATCACCCGGGCGTCCCCAGTGCGCCGCTCTGCCCGGCCCACACCCACCTCCGCCGGTCCTCGCGGTCGGTCAGGCCTCAGGGGGCTGCTCGGTGCCCATAGGGCGGCCCATCGCCCGGCTCCGCGGTGCTGCCCCTACCCCATCCCGGCGCGGGCCCGGCGGGGGCCCGGCGCGGCGGGCAGCGCGGGACCGAGCTGCGGGCAGAGGGCAGGCGGAGGCGTAGCGAGCCGCGGGGCGGCTGGGGGCCCCCAGAGCTCGGACGGGCCGCGTAGTCTGTCCCTGAGCGGGGGGCGGTGCCAGCGCGGCCTGGCCGCTGGCCGGAGTCCCTGTGCGGGAGGCAGTGCGGCTGCTCCGCCGGCGCCTGCAGCGGGATGTGACCGTCCCGGCTAGCTAGCCGCCGCCTTCTGCAGAGCTGGCCCCGCTCGCTCCGCCGCAGCCCGACCGGGACGTGCCGGCCCGCCCCGCCCCGCCGGGGTTCTCGCCGCCGTCATCCCCCTCACCCCCCCCTCCCCCGACCCTGTTCTCCCGGGGCTCCTCCCACGACCCTCCCATTGGCGGCCTCCGGGTCCCCTTGCCTCTGATCCCGGCTGCGGGGGCGTAGGGAGAGGCGCAGGTGCGAGGGTCTCGGGCACCCTGGAGGGCCCCTCCCTCCCCGGGTGGAATTAGCCAAGTTGGGAGGAGGAATCCCACTTCCCCTGCGGGAGGGGACAGAGTGGGGAGATAATTGTTCTAAAATCTCCTACTTGTAGACTGCGTCAGCTTTTAAATCTCTTCCCCATTCATAATCTGATTTTCGTTCTCTTCGCTCTCATTCATTCTTTAATTTATTAAACAAATATTTATTGAGCGTCACCTAGGTGTCTGGGCATGGGAAGAGCTGGAGTCCAGCAGTTAAGACAGCAGGCTGGGTTTATAGCGGCGGAAGTCTAAAGAGTAGCAACCCATGGTTTTTAGCTCTTCTTCCTGCCTGGCGTGGAGAAATTGGTCGCCTAAGTGTCAGGTTTCCTAAAATCAGAGCGTGCAGAACCTCATAGGGCTGTTGGCAGGATCCAGTGAGATAATGTTGGG